TAGTACCACTGCTGCTATCACTAGTACCACTACTATCACTAGTACCACTGCCACAGCTATAAATAGTACCACTGCAATCACTAGTACCACTGCTGCTATCACTAGTACCACTGCTGCCATCACTAGTACCACTGCTGCTATCACTAGTACCACTACTATCACTAGTACCACTGCCACAGCTATAAATAGTACCACTGCAATCACTAGTACCACTGCTGCTATCACTAGTACCACTGCTGCCATCACTAGTACCACTGCTGCTATCACTAGTACCACTACTATCACTAGTACCACTGCCACAGCTATAAATAGTACCACTGCAATCACTAGTACTACTGCTGCTATGACTAGTACCACTGCTGCTATCACTAGTACCACTACCTCAGCTATAAATAGTACCACTGCAATCACTAGTACCACTGCTGCTATCACTAGTACCACTACCACAGCTATAACCAGTACCACTGCTGCCATCACTAGTACCACTACCACTACCACTACCATCACTAGTACCAGTACTGTCACCTCTCACAGAGTGACAGAGACACAAAAGATGACTCAGAGCCGTGAGAAGCCCGAAGGGACTGCATGGAGGAAAACTCCTTCAAGAGACGAGAGCCCAGGCACAGCCTGAGTCAGTTTTTTCTTCAGTTTTTATTGCAAAGACAAGAAAGGTACAGAAGAAAAACAGATGGTTAATCAATCACAGTGAAAACATAAACTGGCTACATGACAATCTTCATTAAAGCCTGTGTAGCTTAAAATAGTTCAAGCAATTTACCATCAAAAGGAGTCATAAAACTAAGCTGTGTGAGGTACAGAAGGAAACAGTGAGATAATCACCAAAGCCCTTAACTCCCCAAGAAACTCAAAGAAACAGCTTAGGGTGAGATGTGGAATGTCCCCCAAGCACTAACTAGCGGACTAGCCTTGAAGATTTGAGCTCACGTACTTTCCCATCATTTAGGTTTAGCTGCACCAAGGGCGACTGCCCCAGAGCAATCACTTTTGCTGCGCTTCAATCCTCTTATCTACATCAAAGGCTTCAGTCTTGTGAAAAGTTTTCTGGTCTTTATCATCAATCTTAGCATTCCTACATGTTTTCCTAAGGGGTTGGGTTTTGGCCCCTAAACTAAAAGTGTTGGCCTCCCAAGCTACAGGCTTTGGCCTTCTACACTAAGGACTGTGAAATACATGTGTTTTATTTCTATCTCATTAATAACTTCTTAGTCGATATCCTCCACAGTCTGCTGCTTAGGCCACCAGGTCTGTGGTGCCTTATTGTGGCAGCTCTAGGACACTGATGCACCAGGGAAATAGGCCACTGTCCTTGTTCCCAAGGAGGTCACTATCCTTTTGGGGAAATAAAACATAAAGCCCCATGTGCATCATGAGCTGGGAGACAGATGACCCATGTGGAGGACATGCTGCCTGGGGATGCAGGCAGAGAAGGGGCTGGGACCCACCTGCTACCCCTGCAAGATGCACAATGAACACTTGCAGCCTGCATGAGTCTGAAAACTGTCGAGTGAGCAAGGAAAAAAAACCAGAAGTGTGAGGGGGGAAGTGAAGTATGTCAAAGTGGCACATCCGCAAAAGACCAGGAACACGAT